AATTACCGCGAATCGAACCCCAGCCCTTTCTCATCTATAGTCAACACAGGCAAAGACCCTTAAATGCCAGCTGAATTTGTCATGGCGGTCATCCGATGTCCAAAACAAATGGATCCATAGACATTGCCCGGGATTAGGACTTCTGCATCTGAAGAGGCATTGGCAACTCGGCGACGACGACTTGGACAGTGAAAGCCAGCTGGACTGCATCAGCGAACGGACCTTCGATGAATGATGTGTCCTTCCTGCAAGTCTACAAGAGCAAAGTCCCTCGTCAACTATTCGCATGGGCCACTATCCTGCCAGATGTGGGGTGCGGGAAGTGTCGAAGTGGGTATTTTACCACTCATGAACAATGCGCTGAAACAAGCCAGAAGCTGGGGACACCTTCGGTCTTAGGGGGAGGCAGTGTGGTGCAGCGGAATGACAGACGGCAGCCATATTGGTGACGGTAGTCAGCACGGCGTGGAGGCGACGTCACGTGACCGGTGGTGCGACTTCCGGATGCGTCTCGGCGTGCGGGCTTTGAATGACGCTCCGGTGGCTGAGAGCCAATCCGCTCACGAGTTTCCCGTCTCCATTGTAGCGACGCGAAACGGACCAACGGGAGAACAGGAAGAATAGGACAAGGATATATAAAGCCCCTGTTTTCCCCATGCGGACCGACCAGTTTGTGACCAGGCTGTAGTGCTTCCTGTATCTAGTAAAGTTATCCGTTACCTCTCACTCTTGTTCAGGGCGCAGACATATTGGACCACCTGGCCTCAGCCAGTTCTGTGTGTCTCTGCGTTAAAATGGCATTCGAGGAGGGCAGGCAGCCAACAGGAGAATGACACGAATGATGCGCAGTATATAATGAGGGGCGTGGCCAGCGTGGGGGACTCGGATGGAAGGCGCCTGACGTGTGGTTCTGGCCTGTGATTGGTCATTAAAGCCTGTTCTGTTGTACCAGTCCTCTCCATATTAGGGCTCGGGTATTCTTCACGGGCGGGAGCGAAACTAATGATCACTTCAGTCTATAAATATCCGATAAATTATGAGTTCTTAAATTAAAGATTTTAATTTCTATTGTTGTTTAATTTCCTTACAATTAGATTCATTGACAATGACTGTAAAGAAAATAAAAAATACCATCAAAATTTGTGCTTCAATGTACATTATCAGTGTAGGTATAATTTCAGTGAAAAATTTTTATTAAGTAAACTACTTAATGAGTTAAAACACAAAATTTGTGTTCTTGTCAGGCAGATGAAGTTATTCAACTATCACCTTCAGAATAATTCACCCAAAAACCACTGAAATTGAAGTGTTTTTACTCGGCATTGCAGTTTGAAAAAATGTATAATCGTCCCAACCCATTGACAACTACTAGACAACAATTACTTGAAATCCAGCACTCCGTCAAAGCGATTGGTTATCTCTTGAACTGCACTATATATAACCGTTGATCAGGCTCCAAGATGTAATCGCGTAATTACATCGTACATTTATAACTGCATATTTAAAGAATGAGTGCGTTGTAAAATATTTAGTCAATTTTCATAAAAATTTTAGTAAAATCACAGACCGACGAATATTTTTAGGCAAGTTCATATATGGCAAACTCAACAAATGAGTAGTGTAGGTCATAAGTGCTTGGCAATTTCATGGATCAATGGCTATAACTGGTTAGTTATCTTAAACTTTTGTTGCAGTTTGCCAATGTATTTATGCAAGGCCCTCAAAATAAATGATCAAGCCCTCTCTAGAACCCATGGTGTATCTTAAAACATGATAAAAATAGGACCCGTGTGAAAAAATCACCAACGTTTCTTAAGCCGTCATTTCCCGTACAATATTCTACGTTGAAATTATAGTATATATTCATACACGCTGAACTATGCATGTATATTTAGCTTGGTCCACTGATTAGGATGTTCATAAGATTGGTAAAAGAGTTATCACTGCACGAAATAAATAACCGGAATTATAGAACCGTCGTCTCCAACATGTTTTAATGCTAATTGCATTTACAAACCTTAAAATTATTCAAGATGATTTGGTTATTTTTAACGAAACCGCTGACATGAAATAAGGAGGAAAATTTACATAATTTTATCACTTGATAAAGTAGGAAATTACTACACAACCTAAATATTTTCCTGTGTTCAAATTGGTAACCAACACAAGCAAAAAAGAAACATATTAAATAAATGTTAAGGATTTCGGAAAAAACGTAGAACTAATATCATAAGTGAGTAGGCAGAAACAAATTTATTTCCACAATTGCTCTTGAACTTATTGGGAAAGATATGTGTTAATCCACAATAAATGATACCTTAAAGAAGATAATTAAAGATTTATTTTACAAATATCAGGCATTAAAATTAAAAACTAAATGTCTAATTAAGTTAAATTAAGTCTAATGAAGTCAAAGAAAATGTTAAAAAATGACGCGACTAAATTTCCACAGATTATAATGGAAAATTATAGCAACTTTCCAATCTGCATTTAATTTATAAATTGCAAGTCCTTGGACAATTAAGGATAAATAAAATAAAATTCTAATTTAATAATGAATGAAAAGACAATATAGTTTCGCATTGTACCTTACGTAACTTATATGACAACTAAGGATTACCCATTTTGGTTTTCATGTAAGTTTGTACGAGTTGTAATTGACTACGTTTCTGCAACATATATTTAGTATTTAATAAGAAAAAAAGTAATTTTTGCTTGGTATGTTACTTTTGATCAATAAATAAATTCTTTCTAGCTTGGGCTGGGTTTTAATTGACCAAGATTGCGTTCTTTCTAGGCAGGTATTTTTAAATGTTTGCGTCATCACGATAACGTATGAACGCATGGTTGCTCAAGTTAACCGTCAAATACTCCTACTCTTAAATAGTTTTTTGTAAATGACGTCAGAGCTTGAAAGCCATATATTAAAGCACTTTGAAATAACGAAACGGCTTGGAAAAGGTGTAAGTTGTTTTCCAGTATCCTTATCTAATTTTGTTCGCTATAATTTCATTGCAAATTTTGCTATTTCCTTTATGTATTTTAAATAACTCTGCTAATGGTTTTGCAGCGTTGTTTGATGATTATTCTCTGATAATTTCTTGTTTTTATATCTATTTCGCTTTCATCATTCATATATCTCAATTTCTTACACAATTTTAAAATCAAGTAAACATTAAACCATTAATTGTTTGTTGAAGTCATTAAGTCAATAAAATGCGTTTGACATAAGGAGAATTAGAATCGTGTGTTGTGGAAAAATGCCAAAGCACTCCACCTCTCTTTTTTTGAAAATATTTGTTGGTGAGCTTTCAATTTTTAACAAAACTGACGGAATTATTCGCACATTTCTTTGGTCCATTTAACAAAAACAGTTTTCGCTTCTTAATATTTTACATCAAGCCGTTTCCTGTTAGGATTAACTGTATTGCTTTTTGTATGTCCACAGTAGGCCTAAATACAAAACACAAGCAACATTTTGAACCACTTTGAGGATTTTGCATTTTTATATACATTTTGTTTAGCGTTACCTTCTTTTGACGTAAAGTTGCATTTAGAACCCTGGCATTAGGCGGGGCCACGGAAAAAAATATTGTTATCTCGAACTTACGAATCTGGACCAATTATGTCACGCTTTCGACATTTACACTGTGTGCAAAATGTAAAGGGACCCAGTGTTTAACTAATTCGCAAAATTTTACGAAACTCTGGTCGAAGTAAGAAGGTTCATATTAATATAATAGTGATTTCATGGATGATTTTATTAAAAGTGTTGTCTATATTATTTCTATTTAATTAAACTTATATCTGGATGTTTTATCTGAAATATAAATAAGATATTGTCTGAAATTGTACAAAATCCGAAAATTGAAGGAATTATTTCAGCACTCAGTTTTGCGCTTATTTGAAAAATAGAGACAAAATAGACTTTTTGACATATAATTTTAAAGCAATTGTGGATTTTTTCTAGGCATTCCTCTTTTACGTTTCTATTTTTTCAAATATCAAACTGTTCGTTTGGGCACTGCTTTCTGATTTGAGCAAAGCAATAATGATGCAACTTTTTAAGACAAATTTGTTTTTTGATAATTTTAGGCCTATGGTATAGTTTGGAGAGCTGTGTCCAAGGAGTCTAATGAAGTAGTGGCTTTAAAGAAAATTTTCGATGCCTTTCGCAACCGAACCGATGCGCAGGTATCGTTTGCCCTTTATTCATTTAGTTCAGAGAACATTTCGTGAAATATTCTTCCTTAAAGAATTTGGCAATCATCCTAATATTGTGAAGTTACATGGTATTTTCAAATCACATAACAAAAATGACATCTATTTGGTTTTTGAGTTTATGGGTTTGTTGTTAGCCTTTATAATTCATTTGCTCCAAGAGACGGATTTGCACAATGTGATTAAACGTGGGAACATTCTTTACCCAGTACACAAGCAATTTGTTATGTACCAGCTGCTCAAAGCCCTCTGTTATCTTCATTCCGCTGAGGTTATCCATCGGGACCTGAAAGTAAGCGTGGTGCCTACATTGTTGCATTTTTATGCAATAGCATGGGATCCGGGCTTTTGGAAACTACTGGTTTAAGATCCACTATTTAACACTCTCTTTTGCCAAATAATATGAAGAATTAATTAAACGATTTTTAAATTTCGGCCTGGCTGTGTGCAGTTGTAACTGTTATGACCTTACTAGTCTAGTTTGGTCCTTAAATAACGTTACTGGGAATTATCTTTAGTGCATTTAAAAAACTTCTACTAATTTCACTGTGACAGAAATCACTATCATTTCGGTTTGTCTTGTTTACGCTAACAATTTTAGACTTTTAGTCACTTTTAAGCCAAAATTCTCGTGCTTTCATTTATTTGTCCAATTAAAAGAGCTGCGAACAAAATGCCTCCTAATCACACTGTCACTGCTTATTCGCGCTGGTAGAGAAACCAGCATGCGAGCCAGTAGCGTAAGTATGAAGTAGAAAGTAACAAAATAGATAAATCTTTACGAGAGATTTGATCTTCTCACATTATAATCCAGCCCTCAAATGTGTTGATCGACTCCAATTGCTGCGTAAAACTCTGCGACTTTGGCCTAGCACGCTCTTTAGCGTCGCGGGCCTTGTCCGAGAAGCCACAAGAGGAATGTCAGCAAAACATGGCCCCTCCTTTGACCGAGTATGTGGCCACTCGTTGGTATCGAGCGCCGGAGATACTTCTCGCTTGTGGGCACTACACTAAAGGCGTCGATCTATGGTCTCTTGGATGCATTCTAGGGGAAATGCTACTTGGTAGACCGCTTTTCCCTGGCTCCTCGACTATCAACCAAATAGAACGGATTATCGCTGGCCTTCCTACTCCCCCCTCGAGACAGGGTAAATGTCTCATTTTATCCTTTCACCCAGTATCAACCATACCTTGAAACTTCACCGAAAGCGTTTAGTATTCAACTGAATGACATTTGTTTTAGCTTTTGGAAACGCACTTTCTTATTATAAGCACACGGGGACAGAAGCTTGCTCCTAACTTCAATGTAGACTGTCGTCCAAGAATACAGAAAAAATCAGAATCGAATAAAGCGAGCCTCGGGAACTGAAGGTCAACTTTAATGAGCAAAGAAATTTGAAGTTCGAAACCGCTGTCTCCCTTCTTTGAGTGTGTGGTTTAGAGATCTAAAATTAGTCACTGATTTGCATCTCTGGAACCGGAACAAACTGATTACCTCCCTTCGTTTTAGAGAGTTGCAATGACGATACGGTTTAACCTAGATTTTTCAATCAATCGGTACTTCTGTCGATTGATTATCGTCTAAAGTGCGAGGCTTGATAACAGCTTTGTCCTACACTAACACAAGACTGCTTTAATTTACGTAGTGAAAAGCATTTAGCTTTAAGAGATTCCATTACTCTCTGTATAATTCCAGCTACCCCATGATCGATTGGTTAATCTCTAAGCATGGCAATGGCAAAATTGAAATAATTTTACATCTGACGTAACTTTTTCCTAGACACTGAGAGCATAAGGAGTCCATACAGTTCACATATTCTCTCACGGGCAAGTATAAAGTGAGTTCGCTTTTGTTTACTTGGAGTTGGTTTTTTGTATAGATGTAATGGTAGTAGCCTCGAACATCTATTGCGTATACGAATGCTTTCAATTAATATACATTCTAGTAGTTCCTTAGATCACTGATATTAATCTGTACTGTGTGGCAGCTATGCCACATTTAATCTCAACTTGAATTAACAATAGAAATAATCATCAAGGTTTTAGTGGTTGGGAGACATCGTCCAGTACGTTGCAGACTTTTATCTGAAACTTTCTCATTTCATACTCGAAAACATGTCTCCTGGTTGTCTTTGCAACCCTTCTCGTACGAGCTAGTGGCCTATAGTTAAAATACGGGAGTTAAATTGGCCATTTCTTCAATTTACAACTATCTCACAATCTTGCTTAAATGGGTGCCTTAGTACGACCCCAAACAGTTGATACTGCAATTCTCCCTCCTTGCAGGGAATTCGGTACCATATCTAAGCAGTTAAGATCGCCCCTTGTATGTCAACTTCTTAAAGCTAGCGTTATTTAAGTGAGTAAATACACTAAAGTTGGTAATTTAATATGCTGTTTTGAATTTTAAGGCAACGCAAACCGATAACCATGATGCTACCGTTGACTGCAGATAAGAGTGGTGTCGAACTAATGACACTATTTCTTCAGTTCAATCCTCAGAAACGAGCGAGTGTATGTGAAGCCCTTGAACATGAGTATGTTAAGAGGTAAGAACCTTCTCCTCTGTGTCATTCGCAATTTAACTCAGTCCTGTTGAATTGAGAATAGACGCTACTCAAAACCCTGTCTGAGTTATCTATCCAAAACAGTAGGTGTGACATGATGCACGGTTACCATTGTTCGTCAAAGTTAAAAGCGGCAAGTCTTATAATGGTCCAACGCCTGCACTAAACAGAAGCTCATAATTATGCTCTTTAACCGGTATGAGCCTGTGGATGTTTCCAGTAGTAAAAAACACTCAAGCGATGAAGACTCAGGCCCAGAGCACGAACAGTAGGATAATCTGATGATGCCTTCGTTATCAAGCTAAGGTTGTGTTTAAAAAGGGACACTTCAATTAATGTAAATAAGACTCTTATTGGAGTTAATGCTGTATCTAACTCTTGATCAACAAGTGTTACGAAATTTAGCATTTACTCATTCTAACTGGTACTAAATTGCATAGATATCAAAAGTTATTTTAGCTACTCTCTATTTGCTGTTAGTTCTGAGCTTCATCATCCTTTTGTCATTATTTGGACATCCGTGGTACGACATTAGGTCCTTCCGGTAAAATTTTGAGGATTGATTTGCGACTGCAGCTTCACTCTGTTAGGCTTCACAAATCATCCGTCGAAAAACGGTGCACTTTGATTTCAAAATTTCATTTTGAAGCAGGTGCATTAGATGTGTGATAAATTTTAAAGAATGAATAAAAAACCCGGAATCAAGAAGAGCATAAAACACCTCAGTGTTGACTACGGAACCCAATTATCCTCGAAACCGTTTTGTGTCCCGTTGGAGTTAAACGGTGGGTCTAGGGTCGGATAAGTTTCGGACGAACTCGAACCCTGATTCAGCGAATCAAACAGCCACGCTAAATTGAGTCACGCTTTCATGCAAATTATCAGCGCGAAAGGTGTAACACAAAGTGAAATGTGCAGCATCGCTTACAGCATCTTTATTCTCCCTTCATGTAGTCTTAATTGCTTCTAGATTCAGAAATTCAACTGAACATTTAATGAAGATGTCTGCGCCCTTAAGAACCCCTGTAGATGACGACGTCCAACTCTCAATCCGTGAGTACCGAAAACGTCTCTATCAGGTGAGATGTTAATTTTGCATAAGGTTATTCAGAGTTTGAATGGAAATGATCATTGTTATACCAATCTCTTTCAATTAGGGTAAAAAGTATAAACAAATACCCTGCATGAAAGAGATTACAAACGCAGTTTTGTAAACCGGTTGCCACAGATTTGATCTTTGAGTGCCTGGTACACGAGACGAGTGACCTTAGTAATTTCGATCATACTCTGAGGACATGTTCACGGTTTGGTTTTACATTTTTCAAACTGATTTGCTGCAAAAAATGGTTCCCTCGTCACTTTCAAAGTCGTTTCGATGCATTTAGTGCCTCATTTAAAAGATGGAAGAACCCACTTTTTGATCATGATCATCACTGCCTTCCAATAATCTTACCACGCAAAAGCCGACCTGCTTGCTTTAGATGGCTGCTGAGAATTCAAGAGAATTTAATGGAAATAGCCAGAGCCAAGGACAGAAGAAGAGGATGTCTGACCATAAAAATTTGCATAAAAATTCTCGTAACATTTCCCCTTCCAATGACACTGCGAATTTCGGTCAAGTTGCTGAGAAGAATCTTCCACCTATTCAGAAATCGGACAGCCCTGAAAAGTGAGTTGTATTTAGCATTTCCCTAGATTAGTTGGAAAGCCATTCACGATGTTCTGAAGGGTCACTATACAGTCTATTCTTTCATTGGCATTATTTTTGGGGGAACTGCATCTATTTAAGGCTGGCAATTATTCGCAGGCCTTAAACCGCTGTTTGAATGCCTTCTCCAAAACGTTATATCATTTATCTGAGTGTATAAGCAACCCACTGATATCCGTGATCAAATCAAAAACACTTTGAAACCGAAAACTCTGTAATTTATTGCAATTCTCAACGCATCGTAAATTTTTGAGACTGTTATGGCTCGATCAGACACAAAGCAACGCGAGAAGACTAAAGTGGAAGCCTAATTACCTTTAATGGCTGGCCCTACTGAAGGCTGTTTGTTTACGCATATTACTGGGTCGTGAGCCGAAATACCTTGAGTCCAGGGCCACTCGTGTGTTATGATGGCTGTTCGCGGGAGTTTGGAGGTGTGCTGAGATGGTTTTAAGTAAACGTTGGGGCTTAGCCAGGGCATCAGGGGCTGTATAGACCGGTGTGGAGTCAGTCGGCTCAACCGGATTTCCGGGGCAAGGATAAGCGCGGAGTTCTGCCATGGGTTCACCGTGGTGACAATCGTGGATTTATGAGAGTTGCTGCAAATTTTTCCAAAAATGTTGCGAAGACCCGTTTAACGAAATCGGTTTTGGCAGCCCCTCTGTGAGTAATCCGGCGTTTTCAGAAGGAAGGCATGTACTGCTGATTTGTAAACGATGAATGCCAGTGCACTTCAGAGCACCAAACCGCCTTTGTGCTGCTGTCTGCCTTCGTTGTGGTACGTTCTATGCCAAAAATTATCCTCAACATGTTTATAAGTCACAGATTCGTACAGGGATGTGTGTAATACGTTGCGTGTCCGCGTTAGTGTTGGGGGAGGCTGAAGAGACACGCGGATTATGAAGATGTCCATGAATCCTCACTTTGTTAGAGAAAAATCCGCTTGAATTTGTTAGAACTGAATTGAGAGTTTGTATTGCGGTGGCGGAGAGAGGAGCTTTATGACTTTTCCGATTGCTATTTGGAATGCAAATTCATTCCAAAATTTCTCTTCTCTGTATTTGAGGTCGAAATCCGTCGGTAACACAAATCATACTGTTGTTGAGGTCAGTGTAGGTGGAGATAGCCCACCCCGCGAGAGCCCAGACGTACCAAATACCGCGTCTACGCCTGAGTCGGTCATGACTGACCCAAATCAGGTCTGTACCAATCTACTTTATTATTACTATACTGTGTTTTTAGTGCGTAACTTAACATAGGTGGCAATCCATTCCAAATTAAATAACCAAGACCATTGGTGTTGGATTCCACTTCACACTCGTCTATAACTATGGTTAACCGAGTCACTGAGACCGAAGAAAGGCCTTTCTTTTTTCTCAGTGTTTCTCAAACGCGGATCTGAAAAGGCAGCCAACCTCCGTGGGTGTTTCAAATCCCATCTTACAAAACGAGGATCGAAGTAATCAAAGGACTGTCTGCAATGTGCAGCGGATTGCTACTGCTCCAGCTTCTGTAATAAATAATGGAACACCCAACTCTAACTGTAAGTAATGTAGTCTTTGCGCCAACGGCTGACGATCAGTATGTAGGTGAGAAATTTCATTATGCTATCACATCCAGAATTTGTTACCACCAAAAGGTAGTCAATTCCAATGTTTGCGGTATGTGGTGAGCGTGGTCAATAAATTCTGGATCCCATATTGATTTTGCAGCGCTCAAGCACACATGTTAACCCAAACTCTTTAATCGGAAAATCCACCATAGTCCCAAATGTTCCATTGTGTATTGATTGATCTTTCCGTGACAGTAAATAAAAATTGAATACTTTCTTCCCCAGATATTTTGTCATTGAAATATTGCTGGTGATGTTGGCCATTGGCCATGCTTAAAGAATCAATGCAGAATAGCTCTTTTTAGATCGGGAATCTAAGCACAAATAACGAACCAGTCGGCGATTTCTGCCGAAATCTTCCTTATAGGTGCAATAAAAGTGAACTCCGTAATTCACCAAATCTATCGCCTTAGGAAATCTAGTGGGTGGACCATTAGAATTTTGACCTAAGCTACAAGCCTTCTTAAACCTTCAACACTGAATCTGACAATGAAGGATGAAATTGATAGACTGACCTAGGTAGCTGAAACGATGCCTAATCAACTGTTAAATTTAATTCTTGAATGTTAATTCACTGCGGTAAACACAAGACTCATTAAATATGGCATTGTGACTTAAGGATATATTTGCTAAAAAAGGGATGCAGAAATAAAGTGAACGCCTAGAAATCGGTATACGGCTATCGTTTTAGGTAAAACAGCACTAATCTCAAAAGAAACTTTTCGGACCATTCAACCATCTGCAGCTGCATTTCAGTGCACTGCTCCAACACCAGAGGTGACTCAGTCCAATCAATTCGATCATACTTCCGGCAAGACCAAACCCCGATCTGATTGTTTGTCCGTAAGTCTGCAATTTTGGCGCATCATCACAACGATTCATCCTACTTGCTACCTTTAAGTACACAATGAAAAGTTCACATTACCCACATGTTAAACATGAATTTTAAGGAAAATTTTGCTTTCAGCCATGTAACCTCTCCGTAGAATTTATCCCCATCAGTTTTAAACAATAAGAGAAATACCGTGTAAGTAAAAATTAAGGCGCATGTGCTCCTACATGCCTCTTCAGGTCACCATTCAACTCTGGACAGCTGTCAACATTTAGATTTATTAATGCATTACGTTACAGGATGAAGGCTTTTGCAAAAACGTATATGCACGATACTGCGAAACCAGCGCGTGTTATGGCATCAAATTGTATTTATTGACCACAACACCACAGGAATTGTCATTATTAAAACTCCGCTTATTAGAAATGCGACTGAAACTAAACTATTATGCGGTTATAGGGCGTTTATTTTAAATTTCATACAGTGAAAGTACACATCAAATGCACTATCGTTTATGATGCACCAGCTTAGTGCAAAAGTAATGTCCGCTTACAAGGTTTATATTTAATTTATGCATAAGTCTTGCTCTTCTGATACTTTAGACAACATCAACACTCATGGAGAGATTCAGCGAAAGCAGGAACGACCAGTTTACCACAAAGCAGTCAACTTTAACGTCTTTGCCGCCATCCTACTTTTCTCACTATACACTTCCACCAATTCAAAGGAGTAAAAAACTCATCACGCCTTCAATTACCTCGCAGCAAAAGGCACCAAGCGCTAGTATTCATGCCAGTCCGGTAGCTACGAGACTTCGAGTGCCTTTACCAACCACATTAGTCCAGGTGAGTTGTGAAAAATGGCGACCTCCATCTTCTGGCATAGCAGCGATGCTGATCAGTACAATTTACACTTGCAAAAATATGCCCAGAATTAGGATTATTTCAAAAAAAGTGTCACAAAACCGACACTGCCATTTGCATACGTACAGTACATTTATTTTTTGCCTTTTTCCTCGTGAACTTATAAACTACTCACCGGTTTCTAAGTAAATCCCATCTAAGTGAATCGTTGGAATACAAATTTATGCAATGGTTTAACCCTTAACTTAGCACCATTATTTGCTCACACAAATTTATGCTTTCAATCAACGAAAGTTGAGATTTCCTCTCATAAGTGCAAAATGCAGGTCAAGCATTTCAGAGGCAAAGACAATAATAAGCCCTATAACGCAGGACGTTAATTTTAATAATATATTTACCTATTGCTCAATTTTAAAAAGATTTGTGCATTTGGCATTTCCTAAACCCGAAATTCTTGTTTGGCGATTTTTAGGAGTGTAAATTGTTGATTTTGTTACAAATTTTGATTTTTTAGTTTGAAACGATTTAGATCCATGCTGTAGTATCGCCCAGGAAACGTTGGTTAATTGAGCGATGGGTACATAGTCAACCAATAATGCCTTTCAGATTCCGTTATGAGGGGCGTTGATTTTGGTCACCAACATCAAAACCACTTCTACAGTGGCTAATATTCTAATTATTACCCAGCTTTGAAATCGAATTCACAAACAACTGTCTGTGGTTGGCTTAGAGCCGTTATTATTCGAGTCTTCAGTAAGCTAGCAATGCGGTCAAGGCAGTAGTTTGTTTTGCTGGGTCTATGCATGAAAGTAAATGCTATTGTGTTAAACTCAAGCCTGAGGATGGCCTCTACAAAAAATCGGTCTACATTACAAACACAAAGACAAGAGTGGCCTGTCCTGTTGGGCAATTTGGTGGTTTCTACGGGCCAGGAATCAAACTTCGACACCCTTTGCACCCACATCTCCAGTCATCTCCTGCCCACCGAAGCCGGGACCTCCAAATAGCTGCAATGAAGCCGAATTTGGCAGAGGCTACGAGAGTGATTGGGACTTGGAAGCACTGAGCGCGTGTCAATATATCAGCCTGTTTTAATCGTGATGTTTTTTAATGTAATATAAATGATTTGTTGAGTTGCGCTTTTGATCGTTTTTTCTTGTGGATCGTTTTCCTAAATGAAATCTGAGCCGTTCTATGAAGATTCTGTGTTCTGTTTCTCTCGTTTTAGGTGTATTTTGCTAATTTAAAAAAACTCTATTTAGCAGGTCTTGGTGCTTCCTCAGATGCTCGTTGAAGACCTACAGTGTCGGAAAAATTAGAATACAGCTATCGAATATTTTTGTTGCAAAAAACTGATTCATCTCATAACACAATCAAGGAAAAAGTATCCAACTAAACAAAATGACCAAATCAAGAACCAAACGTTGGTATATTTTACAAATATTTGAAAACTGGTCATTTAAATTAGTCTTGAATTATCGCGAAATTTCTTTCAAAAAACCAAGCATGAAATAGTGCTTTTCAGGCATTTAGAAGCAATTTCTATCTGGTCACAGTGCTGTGAGATTTGCCAGAAGGCAGTCGTGAATGGTGACTAATTGGGCAGTTTAGTATTGCACAGGAAAGCGTCCCGTGATTGTGGAAGCGAAGCCGCGACTATAAAAACAACAGCACAACCAATTCACATCGACGAGGTTGTGTTCATGGTCTCAGAGAGGCTTTATTACCATCGCGATCTTAGCAGTATGAAGGCGGTGGTCATAAAGCAATCAAGATACCAAGTGAATTTCGACATAAAACTTCTGGGAAACGACGTTTGAGAGACGTCAGTGTCCACGAAATCTGCAATTGTGGAACTGAAAAAGGAGTCTTTAAGGTTAGACCCACACAGAAGTCTTGGGAGCTTGTAGCATCATGAGTTTGCATCTCTTGCTTACCAGTCACTGGTGTCTGTGCGCAAATGGCGAAACGGGACGCTTTTAGGTGCCTCAATTGTAACATCATGACCAGCGATGCCTGTCGACATGACACTAGCCCCGTTTAACCCTATCCACACAGACGCATGTGCGCTGACATCGGTTTGAATTAATCTTGAGTTCTTCAGCTTATGCTTCCGTTAGCATAATATTGTAGGGATTCGTGCGATTCATGTCCAATAACCCAGTCCTCGCAGCTTCCAGCACACATCCCCCTTCTCACGACCTGCCCGTCAGTCACGTGAGGCCACTGGTTCATTAACCACTCTGCATGTCCCACCACCACCCGTTTTTGTCATGTGACCTCACAGACACCTGTGTATATTTTTGTACATGTCCACTGAACCGTAATTGTGCACGACACAACTTTGCTGGGCTACCTAGTAAACGGTCGTGCCTACCACCTCTGGACTTATTGTCTTCCCGGGTTACTTCTTGTGGTAAAAAAGTCTTCAACAATGACCTTATTTAAATCGCATCTGTGTTTTTAGTTATGGTATATTTGACCCCTAGTAACGCACTAACTTATAGTACAGTTTGGGATTAAAAAACTTCCAAATGCATCACTGTCAGCCACCTAATAACTGAGGCAATTTAACGATTTCTTTGATTGGTCCTAAACATTGAAACCTAATAAAAATTCTCTACTTAGCAAATGTGCCTAAACCTGAAGATTTGCGTAAATTGGATTTCAAACCCGGGGTAGTTGGCCCCATGTAAAACTCCGACTTGGTACCACAAAACACGAAGTTGCATGCAGACCGAATTAATGATGTGTACAATGCTTCGCGCATATAAAATACCATATCTCTAATCGTTCACCTCAATGAAACAGCATCCGGATTTAAATCAATCCTTCGGTTTACATGTAAGCTGCTCGTCGACATAGTCTCACAAATATAACTTGAGACTTAGAAACTCAACAAAGTTCATCGATTAGATGTTCTTCCTCTGCCTATAAATTTCTACGCTTAAGGTCTAGGAGTTTCATAGCCCGTGTTTGACCGTGAAGACAGCATTAACTCAGTAAGTAAACAGTAGGAATTTGATCATGGTCCGATTGTGCGTTTTCCTGGTTTCGTACACGCTCCTCAGTTTTAACCAAATTTCAGTTTTGTTTTTTTAATTTGGACGGTAATTCACAGTATGGCTCAAATGAGTAAACAAATGGGATGTTTACCAAACAATAGCCCCAGGTTTTTCACAGACGCGCACACGGCCTGCCAAATTGGGCGTGTCATTGCTAAATCATGTGGTGGTGCGATGTCGCCAAACTGTGCTCGTAAATCGGCTAAAACCGGGTAATCTGACGCCGTCCACTAAGACCTCGCGTCTTTTGAATTTAGTCGTTTCAATCGCCTGATATTAGAGAACTTCCTGTGCCTAAAAATTTGTGTTGTTTACAATGATGGAACTCTTAATTCTTGTTTATTATCGGCAGTTAATAAACTCATGACCATGTAGTCTTTAAAATTCATTAAGTTCTTGAAAGTGGCTCTTCTGTGAAAGGAAATTTAGCACCTCAAATGAATGGACGTAAGTGGTAAGCATTGAAAGAATTTTTTCTCATTCCCTACCTTAAGGGTGTGGGATCGCAGGTCAAATGTGGTAGGGTGTCACTTGGTAGATTGATATTTGCATGCCTTAAAAACCGCTGAAGATTACAAAATGATTCTTTTAAATGCGCAACGGGTTTGAAGGATGCATTTTGAACTACCTTTGAAACCTCGAGTTGCTATGATCAATTCGATTTTGTAATTACTTAATAAATGGTACCGATTTCAAATCTACTCAATTTGGTGGCTGCACATAACAATTCCTCTCGTTGGTTTAATTCCGCGGCTAGAGCATAGCCCCATTTTACGACCTCAACTCGTCCACTATCGATAAATTGAAGTTAAATCCTTCCAAGCACAGAATTTTCTGTTGAACGTAGAGAAAACCGTGCTGCATGTATTTATGAGCCCACGTTGGCAACTTACTACAGCTTCCTGTAGAATGCGTACGCACCAAATAGGTAAATAAAATCGTGTAGTTCCTCAAAGTGATAACTAACAACTTTTTACTGCTTTAAAGTCATGGATACGAACTCATAAACTGTGCGGTATAACTGGGACTGCTGGGCCGCAAATATGTCCTCCATAAACCATACCAAGTAAACGATTGACTCTCCTATAAACAGAGAATATTTACGCCAAAGTTTGTTATGATGTGTGGTTCTGTTACCCGTTAGGGTTCATGACGCAGTTTCCGCTCAATTAACCACACCACCATGTACTGTGGTAGACGCCGGAAATATAAATACAGCATCAAAAATGCATTATTCTGATCACCAAATACATGACGATATTCCATATTTGTCTTTAAAAACACATTTCGAACCCTGGGTTTCGTTTATACCTGTTTCATGCCAATTCCAGTAACGTCAGAATCTGAAACGCTTGGCCTAAGGTTTCTAAGTCGTGAAGGGGCAATTAACGGGAAAAAATCACAAAGGCAAAGTGCTGCTTAAGATAGACGTTTTCGTTTGTTTTCTTGATGCTCCAAGTCATACTCTGTACGTGGTAAAAAAGCTTTTGTTGACATGGCCATTGCTCGGGATCTTAACAGTGGTTCTACACAAATGTGTCGTGCCCACGTGGACGGTTAGCAGACAAGTACCTTCAACCTCGTCATTAAAATATCGAATTGTGACTGTTTGTGCAATCGGCAATACAAACGTCGCAGATGTGAAAACATTTAAGGATTTAGATAATCTACCTACAAAAATATAGGCGGTTGCTGACACACATAAATGCGCTTAGTTCGGGTAAATTGTATGCTATTTGCAAAAGGTTAGCCATTCCATAAAATGGTGGTAAGTTTTCTTAATTTGTATTCAGTAACTACCAGCAACTTGGTCATAGTATGCGGGGCATGTCTGAACGGCATGGTTTCCGAACGATTCCACCAGTCATTGATTGGCTCCGTCGCCATTAAGTCAAAACTTGTGGCTACGCCACGTAGACACACGGAAGCACCTTACATAAAATTTGATGTAGACACATGGTATTAAAGAACGTTATTCTCGAATTCAGCTTACTACTTAAAATGTAAAAAATTAGAACTGACAGAACTTCCAATGATCTGACCAGGACATTTTCAGTGAAGACGTAAAAATTTCTTTTGATATTTATGAGGAAAATTTCGAACTGCAAGAAATTGTCTGATAATTTGGCACATTATTCGCATTCTGTTGTTGTGGGGAAGAGACCGCTCCACCTTGTTGGTTTTAGCGCTTGATCCATGGATAATTGACATAATCCATTAATCTATCCTGCGTCGTTAGTTGTTTAGATTTTTCGGAAAATCTTGTGCTAATTTGCTCTTTGTTTTCAGGTCAGTCGAGTAGGGCAAATTTTGTACTTTCTGCTTTACATGACATATTACACTTTCTTTCCTCCTGCACTTTTTTTGAAATATACATTCTACCTCCTCAACTTGCCTCCTAACTTGAGGTATTTCGTGTTACATTCTGATAAATAAGATATTTTCTATAAGGACAGCTTGAATTTACTCTAGATTTTTCTCTAGGATTCAGTCTGTCCGATTAAAATACAGTTAACTCTGTCCCGGCACGATGTACAGGCAGTGTAAATGAGGTCATTTGCTGAGGCGATCTGAGGGGATTGGAAATAAAACGCGGAGCCTCCTTGGTAGTCTTTTCCCCTCATAGTCACTATCTGTCAATGCATGGGGCGATTTTAGCGAAGGTGGCTGAAAACTGCCTCCTGCAACATTACCCACCCTGGAAAGAAAACCGGCCCTGAAAATAGGTCCCTTGGGCGTTTTTTTCATTAAGTTAGAGAGTATAGTATGGCCTGCATGAGTTTGATCTGCGTGCTCCATTATCAAACTGGCAAAAGCGACCATGGTTGAATGCAATTTACTAACCAGAGCATTCGTCTCGGCTCCTCATCCACGTGTCTGGATGCAGACGAATTTCCCCTGAATAACATCGCTTTCAATAGCTCGGATAGAGTAAATTGGATACCTCTATGTCTTCTGAGTGTAACGTTCGTTTTCAGGCTAGAACTTCCATTTATGGCCTTGCAAATTCGCTGCGTTTGTTGGAGACATCCGTTTTGCTGCACATCAGTAATTATTGCCTTGACCCCTGAGCACTCCAAAAAATCAAACCGAAAACAGCAACAGATATGGTAAAGGTGGTGGCAACGGCCAGCAAGGTAGTCTGCTATGACCACTTCAGGTTATTGCTGAGTAAGGCAACATTGTGATTGTTGTCCTAAATAACTCCCAGGCTAAGCAACTTAGCCGATGAAATCACACTTGAGAACAGCTTCCGGATTCCTGTTGTACTTTGCTGAAACACTGACATTACTTAATCACTGGGCTAAACGGGGACTTATTGTGGCAAGCTCTTAGTCGGGGTCGCCAACATGTTAGAACACGATGCGAACCATGGGAACCCAGCTGATAGGTCATTGGGCCAAATTATTCAAGGTATTTTTAACGGTTAAGTTATAAATGAAGGTAACGTGTTAGCGTTAAAAAACGCGACATTAAGTGAGGTATAAGTAAGCAAGCTTTAGATCAATTCTTCACTGACCAAACGATCCGTTTAGACACATCTCACTAGAAGGCACTGATCAACAAGCTCTTCGAAAAATATCACCATGCCCAAAGGTATTTAAGTGGCCAGCTTAATTTGACCTCTTATTCAGGGATTTTAAAGTGTATTCTTATTTATTCAATAGGTGTGGTGCTTTCAAGATTTTGAATTGGCAAGGAATGTTTTTGATAGGCTATAATTCGGCCAACCTTTCTTTCACAGAATTATTGATTCACCCTTCATATTCTATCCCTACCAGCTACCATATTCGTGAGAACCGTGAAAGGGCAGCTTTCGAAATTGATTTCAGTAGCATTTTGAGGTCAAAATACTTCAGTGGCTATAGATATCGTATGTTAAACGATTTTTGGTATGGTGCAACGAGCTTAAGTCTAAAAGTCAAATGATGAAGGACAGTTTACTGACCTATCAGTATCGTATTAATGAAATTCCATTGGCGGCATCACGATTGCCCAGAAAAAAATCTTTTTTGCTTTACGGACGGATCTACGGGTTGGACTGAGTGGGAAATTTTTTAAACGCATCTCTTAGATCCTTTGAGGTCGACTTGGGGCACTTATTAAGCACGGAAATTTTAGCCTGCTTGGCACACGTGATCACGCCCTCCTCGCAGAAATGTATTTGCCCTCACCCAGTAGGTTGACTCGTAAACGGCTGCTGTCACGTGAAGTTGCCCTCTGTGGTCAAGTCGCTGTTGTTAGCCCTTGGATCAAACTGACGATTGAGATTACCTAACCTGAATCTCACTTGAACATGGTTTTTTATTTGTAGTCTTTCTGAAGGAATAACCATGATTTGCCAGCAGTTTCCCATTGATGCTATCCAAACCTCCCTGAAACGGGAAAGCACTTGTGTAGAGGATGTTAGATGAAAATTGAAATTAAGGATTGAATGGCGATTCTTCTCAGATTTCCTGGTCTACCGTGGTTACCAAATATTTTCCGATTAAATAAAAGTACGGAATAACTTTAAGGGCCATTCCCTAAATTAGCTAAGACTTCCCGCGAAAGGCAGGACGAAACAAAACTTCAAATTTCAACTTGAATTGGTTCGTCACCATGTGCAGGGTGTGGGTGAGCTCAAAGCTTTTTTGAAACAGTCACAGAAGGTTTCATTGATATTTAAACTTGCCCGAATTCCAATCAAGAAATGGTTTTACGATAACACATTGAACAAGGTAACACGAAGACTAAGCTGCTAATGTATACCACGAAAAAAGCAAATTCGTAAAACCTCCTAGTCGACTCTTACCTAAAACAAAACCAAGACAATCCACGGTTTCAGCCGATTAAGTGCGTTCAAGCAAAGCTGCCTAGCTAATTCACTCCACTTTTCTTGCCCGGAAAAAGAAAGTAGTAAAATTCATCGATGTTTACAAAAACCAGTTACTACAAGGTAAACAAAGGGACTAAAACCATGGAGGTCAGAATCGTCTGGGGTTAGACGGAGCCGGTTAGATGAGTTCTAAGGAGATCTTCAAGGGTGCGCGAATCCGCGGCAAACTTGCGAATGCCCTCAGAGAGCTTTTCATTGGCCATTTCGTCCTCATTCATTGCCCAACGGAAGGCCGCTTCGTCCAAATGCAAAGGCTGCTCGTATTCGCAGCGCGAAGCCGCTGAAGCCAAGATAGAACCCACCAGCATTTAGCCCATCATCGTCAATAAACGAATAAATGATAGCACGTCTCGTTTATTCAGCCCCATTTTGTTCAATATTCAAACCGGAAACATTTACAACGTTCGTCATGGGTGTAGCCTTTCCCTTATTACTAAAATGGGCAGCATAATGCCTGAGAGCCACCACTGTGAACAAGAGGTTACGTAGAGGCGTCAGATCTCGAATTAAGATGTGAAATTTCCACAATTATACTAAAACGTATTGCAATGTGTAAAATATCAAGCATTATTATCTTAAAACGGTGTGGATTGGCTTAATGCTAGATACAGTTCAATGATGTGTTAAATGAATAAGACACGTACTTTCACTCTAAAAGCGTAGTTTGAGTGATTTTAGATAAGTATCTTTAATAAAGGTTTTAAAAAAGAATAAACTTTTTCTACCGCTTACAGACAACGGAAATGGGACCGGCATTCAGACTATAGAAGTGACTATAAAAACTCATGTATTAGAGAATGTGAGCATTAAATTTGAATCTGGATAATATGAATAAACTACGAAAAGGAAACTTTTAGAAAAGAAAGGGGGGAAATGTGATAAACTATGCCCCACCTAATTTGGCGTCAAGAGCGACATCAGGGATTTCCTTCATCGAAGCTAGGGACTGAAGGAGACTTGGAGAAATTGTTAATAGATCGGACCCAACAAGCCCAAGAATTTGGTCAACATTGCGAAAAGACGCGCCCATCACCTAAAACAGGCGTTGGTTTTTACCCAGAGTCAGAACGCGGCAAAAGCCAATTTGAACATACCTCAGTATTATAACCGAATTTCTTGTAGTAGTTGTAAATTTTTGTCACAGATACAACACCAGGATCATCGAATCGCGTAAACTTTGTTTGTCCTTTCTTTGCAATATACCAATCGTAAATACGACCAACAAAGGGCGATATTAGTGTAACGTTAGCTTCCGCACATGCAACAGCCTGCTTGGGTAAAAGAAGCCAAAAGAATTACCTGTGCAAATGAAAACAAGAGTGTGAGGTTACAATGCACACCATATTTCGATTCAAGTTCCTTAGCTGCTTGGATGCCCTCCCAGGTGGAGCTAAGTTTAATAAGAATGCGTTCCTTAGGAATTCCGTTCTCAGCATAAAGTGAAATCAATTTCAAAGCCTTTTCAATTTGCTTCTCTTTGTCGAAGGAGAGGCTGAACATGAAAACATGAATACAGAGGAGTCATTGCTTACCGGGCATCTACCTCCGTCGAAACCCGCCCAGGGATAATCTTCAATATTTCTTGCCCAAACATGACAAATGTAAGATCCGAGGCAATTTGAATTTGTTCATTTAAGGAGCTTTACATCCTTGATTAAAAGAGGTGCTGAAATACCCTGATTTCGATTTGGCTATCCTTACAGCCTCTTCGATGATTTTGGAATATTTGGGCATTTTTGATGCTGCCAAAATAAGCGATGGGTTGGTCGTAGCATCCGTCGGTAGATACTTTTGTATGCCTATAGCATATCTATAAACAAGATAATGTAAAACGCACTTTCGAAGTCCCCAGTGTCCGCAACGACAACTGTGTGCTGCTTCAAAAAATCTAAGGTAGAAACCATTTTCAGAAATTAACACTGTTAGCGAGAGCCCACAACCCCAGAAACAAACGCGTGAACGCCAAACAGCTGGAGGAGAAATGGTTAAATATTACAGCAGCCAATAGATTGAAAGGTATTGACGCCATTGGATTACGAAACTCACCAATAGAAGGGCTAAATCCTAGACAATTGCATGAAAGAGGAAAATTAAAAGAAGTAGAAAATTTAAAAATTATAAGTTAAAAAACATTTAATATCCCCTGCAATAACTTTAAAGTATTTTTTTATATTGGCAAATTGCAAATAAAATGCACATAAAAATGATCTTAACACTTTTTAACATTTAGGAATAGAATCCATAGTAGAGGAGTCAATAAATGGTAACATTTTGTAATCAATCTATATCAGCCACTTAAATGTTGCATGACTACCAACCTATGTCGCCAAGCAGAAATTAAAGAGGTTTATCAGTCTGCATCAAGCATGTACTCAGTAACAAGCGTTCACACTGTTTCACGTTAAACATGGAGAATAGTTGCTGTGAATCGTGTTTATTCAACCCCTTAACCGGTCGCTCCACCTCCGACACAGGGCTCTTCTTTTTCGCAGCATGGCGCCAGCCACGCAAATCCTCAACTCCCCCTTCATTCACACGAATATTTATCTTAGGTTATCCTTACACCTAGGAATCGATGTTAGTGCAGTTATGACTCACGCATCCAAGCTATAAATATACGCGCGCACACCTCACACACCACCATGGCTTCGCCAAGTTCTTGAATTAGCAGCTGACTCTGTCCTTCCACAGACTTTATCCTTGTTGGGTAGTTAGTGGTATATGGCTTTTCAACAGAGTGTTTTAAAATGAGTATAATCTAATAATATGCCTTTGCTAGTGTATCTAAATATTGCAGGCGAATTTATGTAGAAAATGATAATTAATATATGAGTTAAAAAATATTTCCACACCACTTTAAAGAAACATTTCATTTTTCACTGACACATACGACAGTACAGTGGTTTTATGTGTTTCTCAATGCAAGTCAATTCTGTGGTTGAATACTTTCAAATGTATTGTCATCGTTTTCATTGTTCAAAGTATCCCAATGAAAACCGTCGCAACGCGCTTTTGTTACTGAAACTGTCGTTCTTTTAATTTATAGAGTGATAGAAAATTAAACAATAAGCAGATGGGATAACATTTTGGTTTAATCATGGATATGAATGTTTTCTTTACAAATGTTTTCTAACATTTAAATATTTCTGACGGAAGGTCTATAAAAATTTAATTTCATAAGAGAGAGGTATAGAAGTCACATGTCGATAACTTAACGAATTCGTACTGGTATAGCGCGGCATGATTGTCGAAAAGAGTACTTTTTGCTCTTATTTTATACGCTTGCGTATAACCGCAATTCCTTTTCTCTTTATTTACGTCCACTTGCTTCTCATCTACCTATTTGTTCAGCTGGATAGTTTCCGAAAGCAGTGAGTAACTAACGTGTTTTGGCCCATATCCTTTACATATGCATTTCCTCTAATGCCATTTTGACTAGCTGCCATACGGTCTTATAACAAACGTTGTCATGTAATTGGTATTCAGGCTATGCAAGATGTACAATACTCTGCATCTTGTTTTTTATCCCTTATAAAAACACTGGAAAGTATCTGATCGAGAGCCTGATGGTAAACATCTCTTTGAGAGTTCAGTTAGGCTTGCAGGTTGCACATCTTTGTTTAAAATGCTAACAGTGGTTTTGCATGTGGAACTACAACAGTCTGCTTTGTCTGCATATTTATTCATGATTAAAGATAGTTCATGCAATTTTGCATCACAAATAGATAGATGATGAATCAAAAAATGACAGCAATGGGTGTCAGGTGACTTTAGGTGCTAAAATTTGATACGAACCCTAATATTGATTCATTATAGATACCTAGTTTTTGCAAATAAATAGTTATGACTGTCAAATATAGAAATTAAATGTCTTTTAATAATATCATCAAGAGAAAATGACATATTTTTTGATGAGCGAGCTGGTAGTATAAAACTTACAGAGGTGACAGGTGAATCTTGTCAAACGAAATCAGCTGTTATAAATTCCGTCTAATGTCAAACAGTGAACTCTTAACAGGAGATTTTGTTTCCTATTGGAAAGAGCCAATTCATAACAATGGGTCTTGAATCCATGACAAAATTAACAATTCAGTTTTCGTGCTGGAATAAAAATTTCCGCTTCACAAAATGCTACCATTTCTGATCTTATTTTGTCTCACCTACTTCAGACAATAGATCACAGACAAAGTGGTAGACGTTAATTTCAAGCGCCAAATTCTCACTAGTTACATAACATGGACTAATATAGCATATGTCGAGCGGTGTAGTATATCTAGTTGATTCAATCTTGTCACTACTAATCTGGTATAACATCAGGGAAATATTATTTGCACCACAAATTATTGTCGTAGTAGGGCACTTTATAAATACTCACGTGCGCGTGGATCTTCAATTACCTCATAAAAAAGCTTTAATGCACATTTAGAAATAAACGTGGAACTTGCTAGTTACAACCCAAAAAACCACATAAACGTGGGTGGCGGTTTATTATCTTGTTTTGTCTTAGCACCGGGGGATCACTTGTAATTCACCGTTTCAATCATGTAAAATCTGAATTCGAGAATACAGAGTAACCAAGATTTGTGAAACGTGTTTAATCCACGATATGAGTAGAATGGCGAAAGGATCTCGTAAATTGTATTCATGCATGCTCAGCTTCCAAAATAATCAAGAATTTTTTGTCAGAACAAAGCCATGGAAAGAGTGAATGGTTTTTACTTCAATAATGACACTCCTTGTAGAAACTATGATATAAATCAAATTTTTCCCAAATAAAGAAAATCCACTCTTAATCACAACGATAATAAATGCCTACGATTGTGAGAGCAAAAAGGCGGGAGCAAACATTAACTGAGTAACTGGTTGATTAAAAATGAATAAACTCGTGTAAGCTTTTTAGTTGAGTATTAATTTCTATGTTTCATAGTACATGCGCACTTGCATGATAACAGTCCTAACGGCTTGAAATTGTTAGGATTGAGGCATACCGCATTAATATGAGTAAAGTGATCTAGGAAAAAGATCTGACTGCCCAGCAATGAGCAGCAACAAAAGTTACACTGTGCAAACTAATAGTCTTAGGACTTAAATATTTGCTTAAGAAGTGCGGATTACATTTGAAAAATATACAACAACCAGAAATCGGATTTTGTCAAGTTTCTTTTCACAAGCACTTTAATTCAGTGCAGAATCAAAATCACTAATAATGTCCAATATTTTCTGCACGGAAGTAAAGTTATGGCTAAGGTATTTACCTGTAACTGCAACTACCTATAAGTTAGTTGATTCTAATGTTCATTTTGCAATTACCAATGAATATTTCTGGTTAACTTAAGTTACAAAATGGATTCGAGGCAAGCTTTGTGAAGAGCATCACACATTGTGATTGCGTGATTTATAAGCTAGTTGCATTTTGCAACGCTTGATAAGTTTAGCCTACTGGTAGTATTTGCTATCTTTTCGGAGAATTATCGTAGAATAAAGCTGTCAGGTCACTTGCCAGCTATTGGCCGTCGACTTAACCAATTAGAAGATCGAATTTGACTTGCCCTTTGCGCTCCTTTTATAAAGTTGCACATTTTGTCGTTGGGACTAATGACTTTGTCATTGAATGATCCCGCTCGTGAATGGCTTAACAAATTGATTAACAAAGATGGACAATTTAGGGATTTATCTTCAAAAATTGCTTTTAGTCGCGATGGTTGGTGTTTTTGGATGTTATTACTACTCTAGATTTCGCCTCTGTTAGTGGAGTCCTCGACACGGACTATGCTTTTCCTCGCATTAATGTAGGAGGCCAGTTAGAATTTGAGAAAACAACTCCTATACCGCCTGAGCTCTTTGAGAGGCTTGGCCGTGTTAAACAATGTTGTCGAATGGGTGTGTTCCCTCAGTGTAGAAAGGCCTGGCTCACCGTCGACTCGGAGTTCTTCACTTGGAATTTTGAGGATGGAGAAGATCTAGCCTTTTATGATGGATGTCAAGACGTTATCATTTCTGTCTGTCTATTTCGCCCAAAATTAGGTAATAGTAGCTGACCTCCTGCGTGCCACTTTAAGCAACAGGGCTTACTAAATCTCTTCTTTAGGAATCCTTCCTGCCGCTATTGAATACTTGCTGGTACTGGCAACACCTGGGAGTCTTGTCGTGTTGGGTGTTACATATGATTTCACAATTTCTCAAGATGGGTATTGTTCCAGCGGTCTCCTCAATGTGTTACCTACGCCGCTTTATTGGCTTTCCACAAATAATAATTATGTTACCTGTATTGAAGGGACTTCTAATGGACGGTACGTTCTTAATTTCCTACTCAGTGATTTTGACCTTGCCTGTCTGCAAGTTGATTCCTTTTTGCCTTTAGTCTTTTTATGGGGAATCGCGAAGGAAATCTTCTCGAGTTCACCTACGGTCCAATACCATCGTTGGACAACAACTTATCGGATTTAAATTTGAGTCCAAGCGATAATTGCAGTCTTGTCAATCATACCGCCTCCTCCTTGAATTTTATCCTTCCTACTATCCTCACTAGTGGATTTCGTCCTTCAGGTTCGTATTCATGTGGACTTCTTTATGTCTAATGACAAATCTCTTGACTTGAATAGCTTCACTAGCAGAAAACCGATATTTTAAACGGTATTAAGTTGACATTTTTGCTTGTAACGTGCTACTTGATTACTCATGCTGTGTTCCCATAACATTATTTCGATTATTTATCAGACTTTGTCATTTTTCAGGGGCCATCACACAGATTTCAGTTGATTCTAGACGGGGACTTCTCTGGACACTTACAGAAAACTCACACTTGGCTGTGTATCAGTATGACGTTGCTGGTGTTAAAGCCACCACCAATTATCTTACCAAATTAGCCAGCCTCACGGGATCCGATGTATCTTCTCGAGCCTCTTCTGTTGTAAAATCTATTGACCGAAGCAACTTTTCAAAGTACGTTATAATCCACGTTTAAACTATCACAAAGCCGCGATCTTATTGGGACCTTGTACGCTTTCTAGAATCATTTCCATTTGTGCCTTATCTGAGGATGGTGGACCCATTCATATGCTCGCAGTCACAGCGACGGGCATTCGGATTTACTTCACAAACAACCTCCGTATTGTTCACGTCCGCTTACCTCCGCGCAATACTTCAGTCGCAAACTTTGGCGAACCATCTGTGGCTTCCCATCAAAACTCTCCTCCGCATATGTTTGCTCTAGGGGATGTAAAGTAAGAAATCCGACTCTTGTATTTGGGTTATTAATTGCCGCGTCTGTTGGTTATTGGTTGATAGATAAATTGATACAAACTAAGTATGGCCTTTACCAGTGTTAAATAAAGTTTGGATTCATAAAAAGCGTGGATCAGAGTGACTTCAAAGTTTCCTAAGTGTTTTTTCCTTTACTTTTCGTTTGTTTTATTTCACTGTCTAAAAGATAAGGTCAATCACAACGGCATAGTACGCATGTATATGTTATTTTGATTAAAATTTCTAATTTTTTTCATACAAATGTCTACTGTCAACGAAAAGATAATGGGAGCTCGTTCGATCCCTTTCTCTGCCAAAACTTTACTTGTAATAAGCAACTTTTTGCCCAGCTTTAAAGTATGCCTTATGAAACGCTCTTTTACCCATCTTCTCTACTGGTTGGTCGTGGAAACCCGAGGAACCGTGATTTTCGCTTCATCAATTCCACAAGCATCAACTGACCCCTCGACACAGCAGGCCGACACATTGACCCTTTCTGTGGCATCACCGGACCCTTTTCCATGGTCGCCCTGTCTTTCCGAAACTATTACCACTTCTCTGTGCGTTGAATCCCCGTGGACGATGACAATGATCCCTTCTGAAGGACCGAGTTCTACCAGTCAGCCTGGGAATCCAGACGTCTATTCTTCTGTCTCTTCAGCGAGCTTTAATAAAAAGGGTATTGAATTGCCTCATGAATCAGGATTACCGCAATCAGAGTATGTGCTTGTGTATCTTCCCAATTACTTTAACGACGGAGTAGGCTTAATGCAGTTTACCGTTTAGTGCAACTTCTGTAATAGGTACTTGGCAAAATAAGGTCGAGTTGCCAGTGTTGGTTCTCATTGAACTCATGTTCACTATCCTGATAACATTACGAAGCATTTTTTATCAAACGAAAGTGGCCCGGCGTTATATGTCGTCATATTTATCCTTATTTTGCTGTTTTATAACCTTTGGAATATTCACCCTAGGAGTGTTGACTGTTTAGCGAAATTCTTGCGAACGAGCTTTAGTGTAGCTTGTTCAAGAGTTGGTCTCGGGTCAATGAACGTTGGCTGTTGTTGACAGCCGATAGCCACGCTTTCAAGAAGACATTTGTCTGATCTGACGGTTATTAAAAGGTAGTATCTTCTGCCGCCTATCTAGTCTCTGTTCCCTGGTTGTTACAGGCTGTTAATTAGCTGGGTTGTAAGGTAGTACAAGCAAACCACTGCACCCAATCTGTGGCTTATTCGCTTTTTTCATGTCCTTTGTCCTCGATTTAGAACTTGGTGGTGCTCTTAAACATAAGCATCATAAAAGGAACCGAAGCAACAGTTTTCTAAGTATCCTTAAAAAGAAGGCGTAACCATCGTTAAAGCGTTCTTTTTTATTAGCTACTGCCAATTTTCGTTCTAGTCCTCACCATCCAGCTGCCACAGCGAGTCCTGCTAGTGGATCTGTCAGGCCCCCTACCCCAAAGGGCTCCCCACCTGTGATGCTAACTCAGCACCTGGACCCTCATTATCGTCGTCTGCTGGTAATTACCGCTCACGGAATCGTCCATCTCCGACTTCCCACTCCTCTGCAGCGACTACGTGATTTCTTTGCTACTTCCGCCATTTCTGCGTCTTCGTCCGTCGAAAACATTGATGGTGGATTTTTGAGCGCTTACCTTCACCAATTCGGCCCCGACGAGTCCATCTGTGCCGCCATTTCGATAGCCGCTGCGGAGCAGGCCAATTCTGAGATGGTGGAGCAGGCAGAAAGGGTAGGCATATGCTGTAATTGTTTGTTTGTATTTTTGAGACTCCTATCTAGCGACCTTGGTCAAAGAACTTAGTTGAGACATAACTGTTTACTTCCGGTCGTGTTGCTCCCCTCTTGTCTTACGTTCTGTGACAATATGTTGATGTTCCAATCTGACAGACTCATGTGATCACGTAAGGTTTATGAAACCCTACTGCGGTTTTGTTTCCAGGTGTGCAACATGGTTAGCCTCTCGTCTTACATTGATTTGAAGCCAACTTGCAAAAAGCTGCAAATTCGACAATCAGTGGAATGGTAGTTTCAGGTATCAATATTATTAGCTAATAACACTAGCCTCCTCTTTTTGTAGACGGTTATTTATTTCGCCACAGAGGCCGCCCGGTTCTGGCAACCACCGGTTATTTCACATGTCACTGCAGTCCCGGCTACACCGACCTCGCCGTCGGACCTCCATTTCCATGCAATTACTCAGCAGGACGCGACGGCGGACACCTTCCTGGTCCTCGGGGCGTCGCTATTTCTCTCGCGCGTTGCACGCACCGTGTGGCGGGCCCCAATGCTTGTGGTTGCTGATCTGGTGCCCTCGGGCGTGGGCACTGGAGGCCAATCGACCAGTGTTTCCGGGGGCCTAAAAAGTCTCTTTTATACTCTAGTCACAACAGTCATTGCAAAAGCCTCGGCCGGTGGTGGTTCGGCGAAGGATTCTATGGTCGTAAGTACTTTGGCCGATAGCCCATGTTTGTACATTTGTCGGCGTAGTCTCTGTACAGAATACGTCGCTTGCATTTATTGTCATTTCTCACCTCTTTACCATACTTTTCTCGCGGCGTTCGGCTAGTTGTTTTGGTCGTCGTCGGTGCTTTTCGATGTTTTTCTGTTGTTATTTACCAAAGAACTCAATGTCGCGAATCCTCACAAATTTTGTATCAGTAATTGCTTTGTCAAAGGACACTGTCTTATAGGATAATTACGTTATCTCTAAGTCTCCAATTAGAGGCAAGCTCTCAGCGAGTACAATTATTAATCTCTTTCAAATTCATAATTTTTACACATCACTTCATATCTACTAAGCACGAAGTATTAATTGTAGACACTAATTATTGGCTTTTCGTTGTCGACTCGGGCAACAAATCTGAGCGTTATGCCTTTCAGACTGTTTTCCTCCCGTAGGTCACGTCGCGTCTAAGTTCCGATGATATTGGGTGGATTCTGCATCAGTTGCGCTACCTCAGGACCCTTTTGGAATCCTCCCATCAGAAGGCTTCCGTTGCCTCGCATTCATTGGCCCATCGTGTCGTCACACATGACTCGCCCATTTCCCCTCTCACGAGACTCCTACAGGATATCTGTGCTCTCCTGTCGGCCTTTATTGAATTCGTCGGTCTCTGGCAGATTGTCAGCCAACATAATGTTCCTGCGATCTCCAGGTACTTTTACTCTATGTGGCCTTACGTGTTGGTAGCTCAAAATATGCAAGCTGCAAGTAGCTATAGTAAAGTGTTATTTCTCTAGTTCTCGTCTGATAATTGCTACATCATCACAAATTGAGTGTATTCGTGTTCATGACATTTTGGTTTGAGGGCCATTTGTCATCTACTGGTAGCATTATTGACGTGAACTTATGAACATTGTTTTAAAACCACTGCCACATATTTATTTAAGAGACCATTTTAATTCACTTGAGGTTAAATGCAAGTCGTTAAGGGATCCTATCTGTTTCTGTTATCGTTTGTGTTTTACCAAAGTAATCGATATTCTCCTGGAAATTTTACAAAGCTTTTGCACATGGTTTTTTCTTTCTAGTGTAAATAGGTTCTGAATTGTTGTTAAACCCTAAAAATGCATATGGGGAAGAGTTTTCACAAAGTGGAATCTGTTGTTTATAGCCACCTCTCGGAAGAACATCGCAACGACCTCCTGAATCTCCCAGTAGAGGCTTTTGTTTGCTGGATGCCTCGCACGGCGGCTGTGCCCACTCCTGCCTCCGCCGCCGCCGCCCCATTACCACTGCACCACACACATTCGCCACCTCCACCCACGACCACCGACATTCGTTCAGCCCTGATCGCCGCTTTATTCGAACACTATCTCTCGGGCGAGTCTCAGACCGGCTCTGTTGACGCTCTCTGCTCGCGTCTTCGTTCTGTCTGTCCAAATCTCTTTGGAAATGAGGATGCCCTCTGTGCCAGAGCCGAGGAACTCTTGGTCCGCGCTGCAGCGATACCGATGGAGCTTGTTGACCAGCGGGAGACACTGATAGCCGAGGCGGTGGAGCTGTTGCAGTCGGCGGGCCCAGCGCTTAATTTGGGTCTGGCAGCTGCGCGACTTGGAGGGACCGTGGGTGCCTGGCATTCGGCTGTCGCTCTTTGCCTCTCCTTTGCCCAGCTGCGTGACCCTATGGGTGTTGCGCTCGCCTGTCTGCGCGATTCTCGACAACCAGAAAGCACCACCATGGGCAAAACCACTCAGTCCGAGGTTCAGATTGTCGAGAGCAGGTCAGTACTGTGGGGCATGAGTTGAAATTCATCCAAAAGATGGAAAAACCCAGGTGTATATTTAACCACGAACACGTACCCGATAAAAGTATACACCATGTAACATTTACCTGGAATCGGTTTATTGTAAGGTGTAGTTTTGGAATGAATCAGAAATCTAATTTGCACCGGGCTGGCCCTTTTCGTCTATTACAGGTACAATTCTTAAAAGGAACAGTCAGTGTATTAAATCCCAACTTTAAAATAAGCAATCTTTCCAGATCCTTCGATAAACTGATGCATCCTTCGTGGAATTTTACAGTGTCAGATTCCCTGTAAAGTCTTGTGTAATGCAATGGGTTAAAGTGAATTTTAGCTTTACGTTACAAGAATATTCAACTTTTGGCGTGAAAGACAAACTGTGTGGCCTCGAACACTCGAAAGCATCTTCGATCACGTTAGGATCTGGAATGTTCGGTTGAATCTGATGGAAAGACACGAACAGGAGCGCAGTCTGGAAGCATGGAGTGGTGGGCCGAGCCCTCATCTTTTGGGAAGCATCGTCCTGAGCCGCGAATTCGAGGTTACCACCGGGTAACCTAACAAGCGGTGGATCATCACACTTAATGGCCTTCCAAATCTTAAAGTTACAAATGCTTGGATAGACGCATCAATTTACTGCCCCCCCCCCCGGACTTTTCTGATCGAAGTGGCACGGATTCGTTGGTGTGCTTAATACTCCAAAACGTTCAACAGATGTTTGCCTTTTAATTTTGTTTTGTTGGTAAATAAGACCTCTTGGCAAACCACGTTCTGTTTTACCGATTAATGTTCTCCTGAACTTTTGGATCAAAACACACTTGTAGTGACATGTTTTCGTGTATTTTTTCTCGCAGCCCCGAAGAACTGTTGATGTTTGTTAAGCTATTGCGGTTTACCTTACGAAACGCTAAAAGTCAGGCTATTTACCATGCCTTTGTTCCCCCCTCATGAAAGTGACTGCTTTGCACAAATTCACAATATGGACGGCGCCACAAAAGCCCTCGCTTTTGTATGCAGCAGTGGGTACCCTTTTCTACATGGATTCAAGTGTTGTTTATATAGTGCAATCACGACATCAGTAAACACTATAATTAATCTGTCTATGTTTGGTTTCTTGCAACTCATTTCCATGTTTTTAACTTGCTCCCCCATTTTAACCTAGAGTCTAAACTAAAGAAGTCTTCACAACTACATTTTCGTGCTTATTTCGTCTGCATCAAGGATAACCGGGTCATCAGTTGAAGTCTTGGTAACTGCGTGCTTGTTTTGTTTCCCCACTGACCTAGTGCCTGATTTCGGCCCATATTGTACCCTTCAAAGAATCAGTGGCATATATTACACCATCAAAGAATTAGTCGGAGACATGGATGCTGGATCTTTCTACGCTTGTCTACGATACTGTTTGGTGTCATTTTCCTGGAGACTTGATGTCCTCTACTTTATTTGCACCTCGTGTTGTCCCTCGTCAACAAACCTACTAACTTGTTTGACGTGGTCGTTTGTTTTGGTCCGTCAGGTACGATGCTTATCGTCACTTGCTGGAATGCCTCAACCGTTTATTGGCGATCTCAAACATCCCTGCGTCCTCTTCGAGGATTCCTCAGGGAGAACAAGATGTCTCACAGCAGTATCGCCAGTATCAGTGCATCGGACCCAATCCAACCTGTGAAACCGCACGGCAGACCTTGCTTAGCATTCTGAATTTCATCGTCAAATCGGAAGATGTGTTGGCGCACTTTGAGGTGTGTTTGCGAACCATTTCCTCTAACTCACACTAGCCCATTTCAAACTTTGCGGGACAGTAGTTGGGTTAAGTAATCTTACATTTTCGTTCTATTTGTAGATTAGCTCATCGATTGTGCTAGCGGTAGTGTTTCCGCTGTTTTTTTTTAAATTGCCCGCATCACACAAGTCTGCATCGTCCATTTTTTAGCAATCACGCATAGCTAGCCTTCGAAGGCTTGATAGAGACCAATTAGACAGCCTCTTCGTTTAGTGTCTATTTCAACCTCAACCCTTAAGAAACAAGTTCTTACACGAAGCGTTCAATTTTTGATGTTAACTTGTCTAGGCTCCTTAAGAAGATTGTTCTATCCAATCGCGTGCTGCATTATAGGCCGGTTCGCTTCTAAAGGGGATGGCTCTTGTTAACATGTGAGACTCATAGAAACGATTTCAACTCAAACCTCATTAGTTTGGTCTTTTTAAAGGTTATCGGTTGGCTCCTCTCAAACGGATTAATCGAACAGGTAGTCTCTCTTGACTCGCCTCACCTTGAAGCCTACCTGCAATCCCGCTTGAGGCAATTTCCCAACGACATTTCCCTCCGCAAACTCCTCTGGCGCCAGTTGGAGTCTCGGGGCGCTCGTTTGGAGGCAGCTCAGGTCCTCGAACACCTCGCCACAAGTCCCGCCACAGGCTCTGAGAGGGAGCGGTTGACATTGGAGGATCGTTTGGACTATTTGGCTCGCGCCGTCATTACCGTGAAGGCTCTGCCACGTAAGTCGATTCTGCACCTCAAAGCACTCCCACACCACTCATTAAGAGAGTGAACAGCCTAGTTAGGTTATCTGACATAGCCCCAATCATCGTTGGTTGCAGTGTGGTGCTTAGAATGACCAACTCAGCTACAATGTGCTACTGATATGGCTGTCCACTTAGCTGCCTAAATTAGCTAGGTAGTCGTCGATTCTGTAATTAGGGAAGTTTCGTTGTTATCTTTTAAATAGTAGATGTCAACGATGGCGAGCACTGCTATTCTAAGTTCTTGAATTCAGAGGATGTTACCTTACAGGAACGGTCGTTGATTCTAGAACAGTTTTGAAATGTCATTTGCTCTCTCGAGTGATTAAGTTGCTTGTCAAGTGGCACGGAATGTGTGCTTGCAGTTACGCCAATCGAGTTTCGTGAAGTCTTCAAAATTCTCTTCTGACTCGAAAAAAAGCATCAAATTTCACCAAATTACCTTTGGTTCTCTATTAACCCCTAACCCCTCTTAGAGTCTCTGTTAGCCGACTCTGCAGACTACCTGGCTGACCTCCAGGACCGTCTAGACATGGCGGAGTTGCAGCAGCAATTATGCGTCGAATTAACAGCGACCTCCTCTGCGTCGTCCGACCCCGCAGTCGAAGAGGCCTTCGCAGAACTAACTCAAGGGCCTCTCCTGCCCGCGTCCGAGCTCTTTAACTCTTATGCTGACCCATTCGATCTGCACGAATCGAAGCTAATGCTTCTCCACTTTGCCGGGGAGGCGGTAAGTGTCATCTGATCTATTCCAGCGGGGAAATTGTTGTCCTATAGTCGAAAAGAACTTCATTTTTTGCTCACTACTCGTCCGATTCATTACCTTCGGCACAGAAAGTCCTTTTTATGCTTCACGATCAATTGTATATGAAGCTTTCTTTATAGTTTTGACAGACTAATTTAAAAGTTTTACAATTGGTTTTCATCACTTTGGAAACGACTTGAATGCTTGGCTTATCAATTTCTCTGATACTTTCATGTAAGGAATGCGCTAGACACTTGGTACTTTGCTCCTCAAACGTCAGGCGTGCTTGAATCCCAAATGTCGCAAAGACTCGTACATAGCCGTCCATAACCGATTCTCTCCCATGACTGCATCAAAGTTGTGCTATTTTAAAGATCATAACGACGATGATGACAGTACTAGATGCGTCAATGATTTGCCTTACGATCGGTCGATGTGTTTGCCCTCATTTAGACTCTAATATCTACCTATCAGAATCTAGGTGCACAAAATTCAGTTCGCTTCCCAGGAACCCAAATTAACTCATGTTTGGTTGTCCCTTCCAGGATTCTGACCTCGTGGAAGCCATCTGGACAGCTCTGCTACATCGTATCCTTTTATCAGCAAACGCACCAGCCTCCTCCCTCATAAGTGGTTCGCCGGCAAGTCAACGGAGACGCCTCTCAGCCGCGCACAGAAAGACTGCCCGCGGCCTCGAGTTGGCCGTTTCAGGCTGTCTGAATCGCCTCTACGTCCGCCTCGCCCTCGTGGCCAATTCTCCCGTCAACAGTGCTCACCATGCCATAGTTGTCGGGACACCTGTTACTGTTGACTACTCATTTTTCCCTCTCAGTAAGTTGCTGATCTGATTATACTCACCCACGTGAGATAACTGAACATATCTCCATCTGACTGATTGTAGAAGAAGTAATATCAAACTGGCGAGAAGTTTCTTATTTTATCCCGACACTCATTTGATAATGCTTGATGGCCTTTACATGTGTAGATTGTCAGCTACTTGCCCGACCCACCCTTTGAAATGTTATATGCGTTATTATTATCAATCCATTGATCGATTCCACCAACTTGTAATCGAACTTACTTTTTGCAGCGGTAATTATTTCGACGCTGGAACGCTATGGCATTCAGCAGGCACTGCCGACGAACTGGGTTCCGAATATATTCACCGATGCAAAGATTCCCTCCAGCCCTGAAGTCGTCGAGGCTTACAATGTTATCCTCTGCAAAAAGGTTAGCTATCTGTTGTGAATGGCGATAATGAGCAAAAAGTTTGGCTCACTGTTAGAGGTTGATTCGGTGTTTGGGTGATTTTAGTATTTAGGCTAGAATCCACTTTTGCGTAGACGAACTGCCACGTCTCCGTAACTCAGATTACGTTAACTGGCTGTGGAAGTTGTGCCTCAAAGATAGTTGCTATTATTTTCATGACGAAAAGTATCTAGATTGTATTGTATTGCCCCAGTCACCTCTTGACCCCATGAATCATTTTAACAGTCGCTTTTTCAAACTTCTTGTCTCACCAATCCAGCGCACTATTGGTTAGTTGACGAAACAGGCACCACTTGCTTTAGTCTGTTCAGATGTCTTCAGTGTGTGCTTTCATGGTTTTGTGGCGATCAGCGCACAAACATTGTTAAAAACCGTGAGCAAACACTATTTCAATCAATTCCCTTGAAAGCACTCTACGTAGCGATGTTCGTTCGGAGACCGATGTCAAGCGTTCTAGTACGAACTGACGCGTTTTTTCCCTTTAAACATCTGATCTTCTCACAACCCACTAAACAACTGAACGCCGTAGTTTTTGTCTTATTTCTTCTTCGAGTACTTCATGCTGAGTGACGAGTAGTGCTAAGGGCGTCTGGATACTTGTGGGTTTGGCCGCTTCGCGTCATCAATTTAAAATGACCCGTTGTAGGAGTAAAACAAAGTATTTCATAATTATCTTCTTCAGGATCCGTTTTGGGTGCGTGAGGCCGTTCGGTCGCGCTTAATGGAAGTCATTTGCTTCTTCGTCTCCAACTTCATTGACACCGCAAATCGTTTACCCCCAAGGCAAAGGCAAGTCATTGATATCCCATATCCGTCTAATTGCTTTAGGTTCTAAGCCTACATCTCTCTTCTGCGCATTACGCACTTTTTGGTTGGTTTTTGCGCTTTTTTCGCTCTTTTGTTAAGCCTAGAAAGGCAACACCTTGTGGAATACGGATGTGTGTATTCTCCCCCTCCCCCTACTTGTTTTCAAGCTAGCATTCTGGTACTAGACTGGAGAATTTTTTGTGATTTTGGGGTTCTGATGTGAAACAATTGTTTTGTAGACAATTGCAGGCTAGTCGAATGTTGGATCACTTGACGACGCACTTGGTGGAACTGCACGCCGAGCCCAAGACGGGTGGTGGTGACTTGGGGTTGTGCGGAAGCCAGGGTCAGCATCAGCCGCATGCAGTGCTTGCGGAAACGCTTCGCGGACTGAGACGACGCCTCGATCGGGTCGTGGCCACGTGCCAATAAGAGGACCTTGTGTATATCTACAACGTGTATTTTCACCGAGCACGAAATGCAATTCCTGTTTGTAGTGTCTTCCTTGTTAATCCAGTCTACTCAAGAACATGCAGTAGAAATGTCAACCCGGTAAAAAGTAGGAAGTGAATCAGCCCACAGGCTTGTTTGTGAGTGCGAGTTCATTCATAGTGCAATTCACGTTGAGTTTAATAACCATTCCAGGGAAGTAACCAGCCAACAATTTTATGAGGCATCTGCATAAAGAATCAACTGTCAAACGGTTAAGGATAAAAATGCTGTTCTAAAAAGGGTTATCTTGTGTAACTTCTCGGAAATGTGGCCTTGCTCTGGTTTTTTAATTATGTCGGATGAACCAACTTGAGTTTTCATGGGTCGCAAATAACTCAGCCTCGGTCCATGTTTTTTCAACTTGGGCTGCTTAATTTGGTGTTTCAGCGGTGGCAAACGATTGGGTATTTTGGGCGGAAAGTAACTGGTAATCCCCGATAATGTGTTTTGGAGATTCAGCATCTGTAGACGTGAGGACAGGTGACCTTTGAAGATGTTCATGGAATGCTCAACTGGATGCATCGTCTACACTCATGGTCAATGAAACTTTGGTTTGAGAACAAACAATGTGGTTAGCTTTATAATGTCATTGCCATTGAAAGAAAGCGGAGCTACAAGTAGAATTTTGTTCGCCAGCAGAGCCACTCGTTTTGCCCGCAGCTAAGAACGCTTCTTGAGATCTGGCAATTTACGCTCATCAAAGAGCTATCATGGTATGCAACTGCACAAGAGCATTTTTCACCAGTTTCACTTTAAATCTGCGCTTGCGAGGTTCAGACCGTAGTTGTTGACAGCTGTGTGACTTAGTGAACGCGTAGTGCCTTTGGATTAGAAATGAGAGCAACAGGCTCTACCACGGCAATTGAGTGACAAATTTTTTTAGGCGCTGTTTTGAAGCTCGAGCATAGTGCATCCTGTAATTAAAAATTGCACAGAAGTGTGGCTGTCGCAATCAAATGATTTGTAAAATTTGGATATTCTGCCTTCTGTGTGAATATAAAAGTAAAGTTAGCGGTTATTTGGGGATAATTAGGGCATTTAATTCTTTATTGTGACAGCTTAGTTTTCCAGTAATACGTCTTGGAGCTAGTATTCTTTTCATTAAGGAGATCGGTGCGTTCAATCACTTTAACCTACCGCAAAGCCCAAAAATGGCAAAACTAACAAATTATGCCTCTCCTTAATGTGTAGGTTAATAGCCTTATTTAGGACTGCACAATCTATCGATTTCAATATATTTCATTTTAAAGATACAGGTAATTTGGGCTTTTCTTTAAAAAAAATAGGGTTCAAGTCTTGAAGGCGCTTGTATGGGGTCTAGAAGTACACCAGGGCCTCTTTGTTGTAGTGTCCCGATTACCACACTCTGATACCCATTAACATTAACGCTGAGGGAGCAAGGTAACAAGGACGTGGTTTTGTTGTCTTCGTGTGTGCGCGCATTCCAAGTCGTGCATGACTTAATGACTAAACGTGGGTGGAGTTCGTAGCGGGGGGGGGGTTTCTTGAAAAGACGGTTCCTCGCGGTTGAGGGGAAACGGGTTCGAGCGTGCTACAGCTGGATTAGTGGACTCACTGCACTACCGTCATCAGGCTTCAAGATACTCAAGAACAATTCCTTCCCCCCCTCCGTAACCTCTACACCTGACTCTTTAAAAGTTATTTATTTAGACTTAAGCCTCCGCCACATTTTAAGGTGTAGTTCTTCCCTCTGAAAAAAGTGACCAGTTCTAACCTAATATCGCAAAATTCGAACAAGAGGTTTTGCAGGTCGTCAGACGGCAACTATCAGAAACCAACACCGAAGGCTTGTCTGTGTGTGCACGTACTTTTCATCCAACAAAGTGCTACCCAGGAGAGCAACTTTACATACCTTAAGATGGTCTTTACGGATGCAGTTGTTTCCTAGAACGACAGAATTTGAAATATTAAGGCCGCATGGAACGAACCAGTGGGTTGATGGAAGAATGACCTATATACGGGTTAGAAATTCACGAAAGTTTTCTAGCACGCAGTCACAAGCTAGCAATTAGAAAAACTTAATGCGAAGTATTTTACTGTGTACATGCTGTGCGTATTGTTGTCGCGATCGGTGGAACCCATTCAAATGGATGTGATTAAGACCATGGTACAAATTAAACCTTGTATGGTTAAAAAACACACTTACCATTTAAGACCTTCCGAATACGATGAGGTCTTGGATAACTAACCAAAGGTAGACTTCATTTGCACTGAAATCCCGAATTAAGCCGTGAGAAGGATTTGCGAAAATGAAACACCGTGGATTAATTATCGGCTAACCCATTCTGTTCAACAATGTACAAGGGGAATACTTTTTATTGGTAATCAGGGTACGGCATGAAGAGTGGAAGTTTAATACATGCGTGCAAGACAGCGAAAGTCGTGATGTACACCCCCGTGATTGAACAATGCCACCGAAACCAAGCCGACACTGCACTGAGTTTGGAGCGAGCACACCGTGTGAATCTATGTGAAAAAACGCGACGAAACATGTAGGTGTCACCTGACCAAGTGGGTCGTGTGCATTGTGTCAGTAAAAGAAGGCTGAAGGGCTCGGTTACCACAGTCCCCACAAAGTACGTCAACACGAGGCATCTCACCAATACGTTGCTCAAAGCCATAGCATACAAACTTAAAACCAGACCGAGTCAGCAAAAGTTTTAACACCACAAAAAATGAATTCAACATTAATCATTAGGCGGTTCATCGGATTCTGCTCTGGTTTTATGATAGAACAAGTTTCTAAAAGTGAAACAAATTCTTACAGGAAAGGCATCGATAAACATTAAATTATAACAAGGAGAACTCATACGTGAATGCTCACAAGATTTTTACTAGAGCTATATTGTAAGCAAAGACTCAATACACAATTGCTAGGGCTCTTCTCATTTTTTCTAGAAAAGGTGTGCAAAAATGAGGACACAATATTCACGCATTACCAGATGACACTGTTGTTCCGCTGTACAAATCCACCCTCAGATATATTTTTCGAAGGATGCCAACGTCTCTAACAAACCGCCCTCCACCATGAATGATGTTGAATAGTTTCAGTGCTGTGTAGATTTTGTTGCTAAACCAAATCAACTCAGGGTCATCAAAGTGTCGCCACATGACGTTTCATCAAGCAGGATATGTCAGCACCCACCAGAGCAGTTGTAGTGTTTTTTTATTATAGTACCAATAAGATGTTGCCTGTGCTCCTCAAAGTCCTCTTCCAGTAAATGTCGACCAATACAATTGACGTGAGGAGTCGTCAAAATGGGCTTCTGATGGCACTCAAAACCATGTGCACCACAAATGCTGTCAATTTCCCAAGTGCTCTTTGGACTGCCTTTCCCTCTCAAAAAACCGTCTACACCATTTGAAAGAATTTCCGCACACAACATTGAAACCGATTTCGAATGCTATACTCGAGTAAACCCAAACATTTGCGAGTTAGCAAAAGGTCCAAAGTGATTCTAGAATAAGTAGGTTAATCGATAACTAGACTATTGTAATAAAATATTCGGCCCCAGAAATTCACGTGCGGATGTCAGTGCGTACGCTCCTTCCAGCGGTTCGGTCACTGCTTCGTGGCTAACAGAAGGCTGCAATGATACAGCCCAGTTGACCTTTGAAATTTGAACACAACTACAGCACACACACACACACACACAGGCACTATTATGGGAGAGAAGCTGCTGCTCTCCCAGATCTGACCTTCGACTCCAACCAGAGCATGTCATTTGGCGTGTTTATCAGTCGTGCTGAGATATTTGATGTTTAAGTAAAATAGGCCGTTTAGAATACAACCCCTGAGATGAACCATGCTTACGTCATTCGCATGCGATTGAGAGAATGGGATGGATGGAATCATTGCACACCCACATTTAGTCAACATTCACACACCTGCTCCCAAGTAGTGAAAACAGAAAAATGGAGCGAAAGCCGTCACACATGAATCTCGGCTGACGTTTCGCCAAGCATCCCACAAGTCAATGATGAGCCCCAATTCAAGGCCGATTAAAACGTGCAGCTATACCCTCTGATACAGGCGAAGCCGATGTGGCCTCACCCGGAACCAAATCACCAAGACTGCCAGCGCCGAAGTTAGTCATTTAACGATCTCGACGTATTGAGTGTTCGTATCTTTATGTCACTCTCTTGTAACAATGAGCAACTGCTACCACAATGGAAATCACGATTCATACATGTGCTATGTTTATTTCAGTACAAGGGCCTGAAGCGCTCAGTATCTTACAGAAACGCTGGTTGATACCAAGCGTGCAAGCAGGCTCCGTTTCTGTCAGGTTTCGTGTCAGTGTGGCCTCATCGTCGAGGCATATTGAGACTCGACAACTACACTACATTACTATTTATCTAGCGACACTCACGGTCACTCAAACCAGAAGGCACGGCACCGCCGTTACCCGGGCTTAAATCAACGCCTTAACCACTCCAGATGACCACACGTTTTTGTCTAATGGGTTAACACCTCATGACAACATCATACGACGATTGCCCACGTGCCTGATGATGTGTGAATCCAATGAAAGGCCCCTGTCTGTGCCACGATTGCAAGCCCCATCCCAGTACCCAGCTTTGTCGCGACATCTTTCCTATTACACGCGAATATGACCCAGACACAAAGCGTCTCCCTATGTCACGGTCATAAGCGGACAATGTTGACCGCTTTGAGAAGCAACTGTGGTAGTCAGTTTTGCTGGCTTAGCTTCCAATGCCCAATATCGCTGATTTAAACCCCACAGAGAAACGCTGAGTTTGGAGTCCACCTCACCGAATTTCTAACCATTGAATGAGGCTCTCCCGCAGCAGCCTCACTGGCCACCTGGACTGACCCACGTTGTTGGCGTTCCATAGCTTAACTTACCTAACTAGGACATCCAGTTGTGGTAAACTCGAGTGCGCCTTCAACCATC